AAAGGAATTCGAAGATTAAGGAAAATAACTTGTAGACTTGAAAATATTTTGTGACAATGTCACTGACAGACTGACACTACTGACAGTGTTGACAGAGCATCTTCTTCCTCCAATTTTTTTCTTTTACGCAATCATCTACACATAATTTCACTACAAGGTACCCCTTATGACGTCACAGCCGTTTTGAAATACATACAAAAAAATCAGTTTTAAATAATTATTTTAAAACTGTTCCAATGCATTTCTCAATCTTTAATTGTGCATAGACACTAATCAGTACGTGTAGAATTATATTATCTACTTTTTGAAATTTGGTCAACAACCCTATTGTTGAAAGTTATCCAACCCTTGTATATGCATTAGCTCCTCTTCTCAAACATTCCTGGAGTATTTCTTATGGTTTCAAATGTATCTAATATGCGATTTCGTAAGTCATCAACAATATTCACTGTTCACAATTTCATCTAACGAATTACAGTCATATTTTTTTTTTCTCGATAACGGTCGCAGATATGAAAAAACCCTAAGAGATCAAAAAGTTTCAACAAAACAGCAAATTCAATTTGTATTTTAGAATCTACCTGCGGCGCTCCGCACAAAAGTTCAGAGGAAGAAAAAGGGGCATGACCAGAAAAATTAAATAAAAAATATCACCTTGTAGAATCTCACAACCATTTGGCATGCCCAATGATGTAAGTCCTACAGCTTAACCTATATTTTAAATTTCAGCTAAATATCTCAAAAACTGCAGGAGCCATAGAGAAAAAAACTTTAAAAAACTTGAAATTTCAGCACCCTGTAGTTAGGTAACGATGGTTTTGCAGACCTATGTTTGTATAAAATGAAATAAGCCGAAGAATTACCCATTCCCTTATGTACATGATATTTAGGAATAACATTTATAATACAAAATGAAAATATTTTGTTCGAAAAATAAAACTACAAATGCTTCAAATTTTGTAATTTTCTCATTTTTTTTTCGCTTTTTATTGAAAGAATATCTAGTATTTTTTAGTTGCGTGGGAAAGAATGTTTAATTATTGAATCCGGCGATGTATTATATATGAATACATGTGACAGTTTTGTTGTCTTCTAAGCGAAATAATTGATAAAATGAAAATAAAAATACATATTTATACATAAAGTAATAGTCCACGGGCCCACGTACAAAGAAAAAAATGATTACCAGCAAGCTGTAACTTTGCGTGAAGCTTAAGTTTGACGAATCTCCAAAGATTTGACTACGAGGAAAATTCAACAGTGGTAAGTTTTCCCGTGATTTCCAGGAAAACATGTCAATCTGGCATAAACATGGAATGTTATGACCAGCACTTTTTTTTTTCAAGTTTAAATGAAAGATATATTTTTTTTAAACCCCCAAAAAAAATTTGTCCGACAAAAATGTTGGTATTTTGAGTTTGTCCCCCACCCCCAATATGTCGATTTGGTGACATTATGGTTGGTGACAACCAGCAAACTGATTTTTCTGGGAGTGTTTGGTAATAAGATTTGAAATGAAAGTATCTTATTGTCCGACAAAATTCTTGAAAAGTTTTGCAGTCCGACGCCCCGAAGATGTCGACTTAACGACAACATGGTTGGTGATAACCAGCAATCTGGTTTTAATTTTTTTCCCTAATAATTGAAATGTATAACACAATAATATACTTGTCCGCCAAAAAGATTGGAAAATTTGGCTTAAAAATAGGAAAATAACTATTTTTGTGGTACCTAATGTTCATTCCGCTATAAAATAATTAATTTTTAATGAAAAAATAAAGAATAAATAGAAAATTATCTTGTTAACAGGAGCAACAGAAATTGAAATTCATAAATAATTATGTCTAACTAATTTAATTAATCTCCATCAAAATGATTTCTTGTTCAAAAAACTTATATGTACATTTTATTTTATAAACTACTGTAACTATTTTATAAAAAATGGTAACTGTACAATGAATGCATAAATTTTTGCTTGTGTTTTTTTAAATTAAAATTTGCAATCTTGTTTTGACAAACAGTTTACACATAGTTTTGTTCTTGAAAAACCATTACACCAATTTTAAACCAAATTTAAAAATATTATACATTTATCAACGCGTTTATTAAAAGATTGTCTTGTTGTAAAGTATAAATCCTTAATGCGAAATGACTTTGCAGCATTTAAAACCTGCTGCCAAAGTTCTTAACAGGTGTTTATAGTTTCTCCATAAACAACTGATTTCATGTAACCCCAAAAGCAGTAGCATACAAATGACAGCAATAAGACAAGTGGAATATGTCAATTATTTGATTTTCGTCCAAACTTAAGAAACTTCACCGCTAAATTATTAATAGGTAGGTACTTCATTGTAATTTAATTCAACAGCATTGGAAGTTTCAAAGACAAATATCTCGAAAACAGTGCGAGACAGCTAGTTTTATAAAGTGTAGCTTTTTTGTGTAAAAAAACTTGGAAAAGACACCAAAGATGAGATACCTTAAATTATAAAAAAGTTGTCATTTTTAACACATTCAATCTACTGCAGCTAGCGCCCTCTATGAACTTTAACCAAAATGTGAACACATTTCAATTCCTCCACTTAAAGAAATCCAAACCTCAAAATTTTGGGAGGATATTTGCATTTGTTAAGGAATAAATGAAAAAAAAACAAAATATTTTACATTAACACCCTGTATCTCTTTAACTATCAACTTTTGGACTAAGGTAAGTTCGGCTAAATCGCAATATTGTTGCTTCGAGAATCTACCCATGAATTTTGACCTAATAGGTCAAATTGTATAAAAAAATAAATTTAAATTAGTCATATTTATTTTGAAATTTGAGAATTTTAAACAAAATTTGTTTTATTCATATTTTTTTTTTTTTTATTAAATATACATTTTTCTTCTATGCGTAAGTATTGAAACCGCAAAATTTTATAGTTTAATTTTGTCGGACAATTAAATTCTCAGAATATTGCATTTTTTTATATAATGACGCTTTTGTCCGACAGCTGGTTATCACCAACCATGTTGTCGTTAAGTCAACATCTTCGGGGCGTCGGACTGCAAAAACTTCTCAAGAATTTTGTCGGACAATAAGATACTTTCATTTCAAATCTTATTACCAAACCCTCCCAGAAAAATCAGTTTGCTGGTTGTCACCAACCATAATGTCGCCAAATCGACATATTTGGGGTGGGGACAAACTCAAAATACCAACATTTTTGTCGGACAAATTTTTTTGGGGGTTTAAAAAATATATCTCATTTAAACTTAAAAAAAAGTGCTGCACATAACATTCCATATTTATGCCAGATTGACATGTTTTCCTGAAAATCACGGGAAAACTTACCACTGTTGAATTTTCCTCATAGTCAAATCTTGGGAGACTCGTCAAACTTAAGCTGCACGCAAAGTTATAGCTTGCTGGTAATCATTTTTTTCTTTGTACGTGGGCCTGTGGACTATAAATGCATTCTTCAAATATTTCGAAATGACAAATAGTAAGTTTTGGAAAACATTACATAATTAAAATGTCAATATGTTTCAATTCCAAATAACCATTTTACACAAACATAACAATTGGAAATCATAGATATAGCTTTTTTCTTAACTGTGTAATTAAAAAAAAACAGCTATATCTTCAAAGTTAATATTGGTACCATTTAGTTTCCACACACTACTTTTTTAACAAATATATTAAAATTTTGAAACTATTCGGAATAGGTTCATTGCTTGCGTTTGAGCTATGACATGAGGTTTAGGTTCTTCTGTAAAAAATTATCTGCATTACAAAGCAAATATTCACTTTTGAATTAGTATAATTCTAGAAAAAAAATTAAAAGTAAAAATCATATTTCATAATAGCTGTTTTACATTGACAATTTATTGATCAATTAATTTATGAAGTCGTTTCATCAAGAAATTGGACAAGTGTAATGCAACCAAATCTGATGTCAAATAACTTCATGAATTTATTCATCAAGTTCTTGACGAATTAGAGCATGTTCTAATTTTCGTCAATTTCTTCGTAAAGTTCGGAAGTACCAACTCAACAGATTTACAGCCTCAGATCAGTAATGAGGTTATGTTATTGGAATATGTAAATAATTGTATGGCGTCATACTAGTTTTGCATTGTTTTTACTGATTTGTTACTTACAAACACTAATATTTATATAATATGTATCAAAACGGTACTGCTGTTGTATTACTACAATTATGAGTAGAAAGATGACATTTTTGAAATTTATTTGCATCTTTGATTCGTTAGTAGAACTGATTCATGTGTCAAAAAACTTGACAAAGTCTGCAGCAGTGTAAAACCACACTGTTTACCAATAAATTCGTGAATTAATTCATGAAGAACTTCATCAATAAATTGTCGATGTAAAACAGATATGTCTAATTTCTTTTTTATCAATTAAGAACTTAATTATATAGAAAAAATAATTACCACAATCACTATCCATTTTTTAAATAGTTCTTCATTTTATGGAAATCTCTCTTATTACAAGAATAAATAAAATATCAGTTTAATAGAGGGGTCAGTCCACTTTACCAAATTGAACAAGGATCATGTGATGTACAAAACAAAGTCCATAACTCAAATAGAAAAAGCTTTGGTGGTTACATTTTCTATAGTGCCCTAGCTTATACAATTAAGTTCAATTTATTATTATACTATACAGGGTGTAACGTAAAGGTTGGGAATAAATTAAACAGTGGATTCTTTAGTATAAAAAATAAATTTTTGTCATATGAAGTTATGCTCTACGGGTTTTCTTTTCCAAGCTACAGGGCACTAAAAAAATTCAAAAAATTTAGTTTTTCTCCAATAACTTTCGAACATTAGAAGATAATGGAATGAAATTTTATCCATAGCTTAATTTGATAATCCCCTAGTAACAGGAAAAAGANTGACAAAAATTTATTTTTTAAAATAAAGAATCCACCGATTAATTTATTCCCAACCTTTACGTTACACCCTGTATATATATATATTTTTTTTTCTAGGATATTCACCCTTTGTAATGAGAGACATCAATTCAAAATCAGCACAATTGTGCATCAGACCAGGCCAAGAATATAAAAACTGGTTAAGGAAAAATCCAAATGAAGCTCGCAGGAAAAGAAAATAAATGTTTAAATATGAACTTTTTTAAGAAATATAACATTTGTTTTTAATGGTTTATTGTATTTACCTGATTCCTACAACTTTCTGCCCTCTTAGAATAGTTTTTTTTAAGTTTAAAATAATATAATTTTTATAATGTAATAAAAGCTATACATTCACTGTTATCTTTTTCGAAATTTGAAGCGTGTACTACTGTGGGAAACAGTCATGGGCCTGTATCATGCACAAGTCACTTCTAGGCTGAGAAACGGTATAATATTTTGGGGAAATTCTGTAATTGCGAAAAGTATATTTGTGGCACAAAAACGTATTTTTAGATATATAGCAGGTGTAACAAGTAGACAATCTTGTAAACATATTTTTAAGGAATATAAAATATTAACGCTTCCAATGAATTGTGTTTTCTTTTTCAATAACAAAAATCATTTGAACAAAGTATGTGCTTTGCATACATATAAAACTACACAATGGAATAAATTTTGTGTACCTTATAGTAATTATAATGTGTCTGTAAAGTCTCCTTTCGTGTTTGGACCCAGGGTGTTTAATAACTTGCCATTGGAAATAAAAATGATTGAGAATCTCGGTAGGTTTAAATCTAAGTTAAAATATTATTTAATTGACAAATGTATATATAACATTACTGAATTCTTTTAGTACAAGAATTTATGGCTTTTCCCTTTTTTTGTATCTTTTTTAGTCTTTAAGGAAACTAAAGGTTATTTATTTATTTATTTGGTCCAGCTGAACAGGATGGCCCATTTTGGTTAGGATTTCAGGGTACAGGTTATAGACAGAAAAATACTAGTACAGGTATCCCATGCTTTTTTTAGTTTAGTTCAGTGGTACAACAAAGTTGACTAACTTGATCGATTTTCGGTATACAGATGACTTCTCAAATTTGATAGATTTATTGACCTCTATGTCTTGGATGTTATATGGGATACCAAAGAATTTTTACACAATTATGATTTTTTATATGTAACATTGGCATGCTAAGTTCAATCTTCATTTCTTTTTGCATTACCTTTCCGACAATATAGTAATATTTATATAAAAATTACTTGTCTTGTGTATTAAGGGGTCCTATGACAGTAAAGTTCTAAAATAAAGCGTTTTTTTGTGATTTTGTTTTTAGGAAAGGAAAAAGGATCATAATCAAAGATGTTATTAACCATGTCTTCGTGTTCAAAAAATATATATATATATTCATAAATGGCACAAAATGGCATGTTCAATTAGCGAGACTATAGTGTAACTAACGCAAATTTGAAAACAAGAAATTTTCTCAATCTACACGAGTATGGCTAAAGAATTACATAGGGGTTTCGAAAACATTAATTTTTTTTATGATTGTCGAACATTTGAAGCAAATAATTTGATTTATGACAAAAAAGTGGCAATCATTTGTCAATAAATAATATTAAAAGCAACAGAAAATCCCATAGGTACTTCTCTTTGTAATGTTATTTTAAATATATGGTCAGTCAAATAGGTATTGGAATGATTAAAATGAATTAGAGAAAATCGCTTTTAATTTTTGAGATATATGGTACATACTTTCATCAACATCGGTTACTATATTAAAAAAGTTAGAAATCAAAAGGTAAGTCATTGGTTGTACCTTTCCAGCAGTTATCTATATGCCACAAGGAAAGAACACGGAATTTCAATGAAAAATAATTTGTACAGGTATAGAACTTTTCCCCCTTCTAGAAGGTTTAAAGCATCTTTTAAATCAATAAAAAAAAACTAAGATTCCTGAAAATTATACTCTTCTCTTTAAAGAGAAAAACTTTTGAAAATTGTTTTATGGGAATTGTCTAGAAGTCAGATAGGGTTCCGCGGCCAATCAGAGTAACACTGAATCCAAAAACTTGGTCGCAAGGCCTGAAAGTGGTCAGATTAATTGTTATTAACAAATTAAATGTTTAAAAGGCTGTAAAAAGTTTATTTTTATAGCTAGTACAATTTTTTAAGCGTTAATAGTTTTCTCAACATACTTTTTGAAAATTAAAAAAATATTAGCTTTAACCAAAGTTATTGCAAATTTAGTGCAAATATCTTACATTTTCCGTCTCCGCGCGCACCTATTTTACCATATCTCTGGTTCTGTTGGATGAATTGAGACGCACGACATCTCATTTTAAAGTTTGAACTTTATTTTACAAGATAGATAAGTTCCATTAATTAATTAATTTATTTAACAATTAATAGCAGCTTAGAAAGTTATGAGATTTCAACGACAATACTGGTTATATTTGTTTATAAGGTTTTTTTTATTATTCAACTTCGATGAAAAGCCAAAAAAGTTACCGGACATTGTTCTTCACATCCTAACAATCATTTCATACCTTATAGTCATTAGTTTTTCTTTATCAAAATCCGTGAAGAGACGCGCGTACGTCAAGGGCGATATACGCGCGCTTGATCGAAAACTCAGAGTGCAAGTGCCTTATATACTTACATGTTTTTGATGTTAATCTATTTATTAAACAAGAATTACAAACACCATTCAGCTTTGCAAGGAGATCCTACAAACTATTTGATCAATTTTGGAAAAGGTAAAATGTAGTTCATTATAAATTTCATCGTCAAGGCATTAATAAAATTAATCCTATAACCAGTAGTTTAAATATTTAAAAATGTGATGTTTCATTTTATAGATTATTCAGAAACTACTATCAAAGCAAATAATAAAATAAACAATAGCAAATAAACCTAATAAAATGACAGAAGAATATTTAGTTAAAGTCGTAAAGAAGAAGAGTTGCCTCCTACAAATGCGTCAATACAATTGCACATTTTAAGGTGTATATAAATTATACAGTTTACAATCAGGTAAACTGTTTAAATAGCCACGCTGCAAAGTTAGACCCACACATGTTCGGCTGGATAGATGATGGAGATATGCTTGCTCAAAAAATAATACAAATATTGCTTCCTCCACCAGATGAACTTATCACTAATTGCACATGAAAAGTATGCTCTAGAAGATCATCTGTTTGTATGGCTGCAGAAATTAAATGTTGCTCATTTTGCTATTGCCAAAGGCAAGGCACCTGCAAAAATGTCTATAATGAACCCATTATTAAAAAAGAAACAAATTAATTAAAATATTTAAACAATTAATTGTTGTTATTATTTAAGTAAATCTTATAAATATCAGTAATTAAATCAATTGTTAATGCTTTTTTTATTATTTAGTCTTTGTGATTTTTTAATAATAAAAGTTTATAACACTATATAGAGCTCTTGCAATCTGAACTTTCGATCGAACGCGCGTACATTGTTCACGGGTTTTGATAAAGAATAACTTTATAACTATAAGGCATGAAATGATTGTTAGGATACAAGGAATAATATTCGGTAACTTTTTTTGGCTTTTCATCGAAGTTGAATAAAAAAAAGCCTTATAAACAAATATAACCAGCATTTTCCTTGAAATTTCACAACTTTCAAAGCTGCCATTAATTGTTAAATAAATTAATTAATAAATGGAACTTACCTATCTTGTAAAATAAAATTCAAGCGTTAAAATGAGATGTCGTGCGTCTCAATCCGTCCAATAGAACCAGAGATATGGTAAAATTGGTTCGCGCGGAGACGCACAATGTAAGATATTTGCACTAAATTTGCAATAACATTGGTTAAAGTTAATATTTTTTAATTTTCAAAAAAGTATGTTTGTTATGAGGAAATGTAACTATCAATGCATAAAAAATTGTACTAGCTATAAAAATAAACTTTTTACGGCCTTTTAAACAATTAATTTGTTAATAACAATTAAACTGACCACTTTCAGGCTTTGCGACCAAGTTTTTTGAATTCAGGTCAAAATACTTGGGAATAAATTGTTTGCAGCTGTGACACTCTGATTGGCCACGAAATCCTATCTGGCTCCTAGACTAGCAGAATTAATATTAAAAATATATGTTCAAACCCTTTTGAATACATAAATTGAACATAATAATATGCTTTTATTAATATTTTAACATTTTCATTAATATATTCCAAACAATTTCTCTATTTACATCAAGGGGATGTTTGAGAGGGAGTTCTAGAAGTTATATTTGTCTGACAAATATATTTTAATTTGACATTATTAGTTATTACAGTGCTGTTAATATATATATTTAAATACCTGAAATTAAGTTGTAAAAATTCAAAACTTTAAATTAAAATTTCTAAGTTTAGTCGCAATAAAATAGTTTCAAATATTTCTTAATAAATATATACGAGCCCAGGCTCATATATAATAATTCGGCCAATTATAATTTTACTACTAATATATTTAAATAAAAGTAATAATGCTCTCAAAACTATTTTATTCAAGGAAAATATTGGTAATAGAAACAAAGTATAAACTTTTAACTTAAATATTACTACGTAATGATGTATCATTGACTAGTTTGTTAATAAAAAACATTAAGATTCGCGGTTCAGAATAGTTTGACTGCTTCATCAAAATTGTTTTACATCACCTTTATTAAGAATAACAGCTTTAATTTTGGCAGGCATTGTATCTACCAGCGCTCTTCTGCTGTCCCAAATTTCTTGCAATTTGGTGCGTAGATTGTTAACTGAATGGATTGGATGTTTGTGCAACTGTTTCTGCATTTTATGCCACAATGTTTCCATTGGCAAGAGCTCTGGACTGAAATGCCATTACATAACAGGAACATTATGTTTCTGTTACCAATATTTTTATTTAATAAAATAGTTTTGTGTCGGTACTTTTATTTAAATATATTGTAAAATTATGCCTGGCGGATTTATTATGAGCCCGGGCTCGTATATAAGCAGTGCTATAATAATTAATATTGTAAAATTAAAAAATGTTTGACATAAATTAACATTTTTAAAACTCAATATGAGAGTTTGAATGTCTACATAAATGGGAAAAATATTGGAATATGTCAAAATAAATTTAAGAATATTAATAAACACCATAAATTATGACGTACATCCATCAAATTCGGAGTTTTCAGCATGTATTTTTAGCAATAATTCCTCTAGTAAAATAAAGAATAAAAACAATTTTATTTTTTACTGTAGTACATAAGTAATTTTTAGACTATATATTTTTAAAAAGGTAATAAAAAAAGTAAATCAATGCAGTAAAAATATACAGGGTGTTCTATTAGAAATAACAAAATCTAGTGACATTTCTCTGAAAATATAAGAAAAAACCATTCTAAGAAAATCGTATAAACTTCATTAAAACATTTTTTTTGGTAACGGCCAAATTCAAAAAAATCATCTGTATATTAAAAATCAATCAAGTTAGCCAGTATTTGTTTCCACAAAATTTAGCACTCAAAATGGGAGGCCCTGTACAATGGTCCACCTGGTAAAGTTCTATTGAGTCGACTGCGATTATAGCCTCTCTTTCTTTTTTTAATTAGTATTTTTCACAATAATTAAATAAAACCATAAAAATTTTAATATTTATTTTTAATTTTTATTAAGATATAAGTAGGTAATATATGCATTTATTTATTTGTATCGTTTTTTAGAACATGTTTGAGTACACAACAAATAGTTTGTTTCGTTAAAAATTGCTAAATATGCGTTGTCACCATTTATATAGTAATGATGTTCATCAGAACCCCAAGCAACTGGAGAATCCGAGAATCCTTGGACATAAATTGATATCCATGGTTTATTAATTAATGTGGCATATTGTCTAAAAAAAAATTTTTTAGAATCCTTTAGCATAAAACTATGTGTAAAATAATTTGTACTATCTATCAGCAATAACTTCCATTTTCTTAAGAGTAAACAAAAGATTACTTTCCACGTAAAATTAAATATTAAATTACCTACATTAAAAAATTAAAGAAGATATAAAATTTTGTTATAATTTATGAAGCATTGTTATGTGTAAGTTGTGGAAAGAACATAGTTGTAATTTTTACATGAAAAACAATATACAAAATCACGACTAATTATGAATGAACATTTGGTACTTCTAGACATCCAACATTTTGTTGCAACTAATCCATCTGGGGCTTACTCATAAGTTTAATATTAGTGTCAGTGTATTACAAATAGCCCAGTTACTGTAGCTGAAAATATAGTAATACCTCCGAATTTTTTATAACCATCGATTTTTCTCAAAATTTAGAATTAGGCTCATCAAAACTTATATATGCGCTAGGTGTGCTTTTTGTTCTTAAGGGGTGAAAACCACCCCTTATTGGAAAAAAAAATACAAATTTAAGCATTTTATGTAATCAAATCCTTTTTATTTATGCAGTATGGGTAATTTGATGTGCTATCCAACATGAAAATGAATGTGTTCCAAATTTTCAACCCAGAAAAACTTTTAAAAACCACCTCTTTGGATGAAAATAAAATAAAAATTGATTTCTTGATTTAAAAATCTTTTTTATTGATTGTAACTTTTCAATCCTTGAAAAAATACCCCTTCTTTCGAAAATAAAATGAAAAAATATTATTGAAAGAGTAGAAACATTTTAAATGTGCATTCGTATTAAATAAACATTTATTCCCTTCTTATAAAATAATTTTGAATTGATTGCAACTTTTCAACCCTTAAAAATTACCCCTTACATTTATAAATTTTTATTTTTCTTTTTAATAATAATAGACAAAAAAAACATTATAATTATATGTAAATGATTATTCGTCGTCAGTGCTATTCACTTATTATTATTATTGTGTGTGTGTATGGTGTGTGTGCGTATGTGTAGTATAGTGTGTATTATAATACAGTACTGGTTTATTCGAATATACACATACTAAATACGCATATATGCAAAAAAGATTTCAATGCTTCAAAATTCTTGTTTGACCTAAATTTTCCTAAAATTATCACCTATACACCTGTTTATTTTTTTTAAGCCCTTCAAAAAGGGTGGTTCTCTCATTCATATGATAACTTAAAATGGCGATATCTCGATTAATATTAATTTTAGAGGAATAAAAAATAAAGCAAAATCTTCAGCAAAAATAAAGCTAAATTTTTTTACTCTTGTATTTTTTCCGTACACCCTTTAATTTTAAGTTACAACGTAAAAATCGATTTTTTTTAAAAAATTGGAAAAATTTACATTTTAAAAATTAAGTTTTTTTTCGAAATCATGCTTTATAAGTAAGCCAAAGACCCAGAGCACATTCTTAGAACATAAATGAAGAAATCTGTAAATGGATTGCATTTAATTTTAATTCTGTCGCCAAAGGCACTGATTTGTTTAATTTTTTCTTAAAAAAAATTAGACTATCATGTTATTTCGATCATATTTCCGTTAATTTTGATTCTAAAGACTTTTAAAACAGCTCATATTAAAGGTTTTTCAAAGTACTTTAAAAAAGGTGCAAATAGTTTTTTTCCTAATATTTATGGTTTTGGCGTTATTTAACGTTAACTGGTTCCAATTTAGTTTTTAGCTAACTTATAATAATGTTTAAAAATCCATAACTCGGTTTATATTGCAATTAGAGAAAAACAAAATAATGCCATTAGATTTGTTATTTCATTACTTTTCTTTTTGTTCATTACAACTTTTTCGTTAAATCCAATGGTTTCAGAGTTATTTGCAAAAAACTGTCCGAAAACAAGCACTTTTTCAGTAAAAAATCAACATTTTCAATGACGAATTACTCGGAAAGTATTGGATTATTTAAAAAACTTTATATAACATTTGTTACTTAAAATTGACACCTCTATCGATTCCTGTGGTTATTTTGGGCGTAAAAATTTCCACTTCCAAGAAGGGGTGGGAACCACCCCCAGGGCAAAAGCACACTTCGGCACTATATAAGTTGTGTTCCTTGAGGCATTCCCCACATTCAGTCAAAATGTTCACGTCAATCGGTTCAGTTATAAAGAATTTGAAGGTAAAAACCCTGAGTAACTGGAAATATAGTATAAGAAATATTTGTCAAAGCATTCAAAAATTAGTAATTGCGAACAGATATTTACAATTACATATTTGTACAGTAATAATAAATTACAACATTATTTAATTTCAATGGCAAAACGCTCAAATTCACTATCTTCATAAGAAAAATAAGCAATTTAACATATGATGCAAAAAAAAAATCAGACATAGGTACCTACTTCCATACAGATGTCACTTTGACATAGTAAATGAAGAAAATTAAAAACTGAAAAATATCTATCCTCTCTCTTCACTAATCATAATTTTATTGGGGAGTCATGCTACAGCTTCTATTTCTTAAAGATGAAGAGTTTATTAAAATTTTTCCCTCCTGAAAAAATTCTGTATTTGTAACTGTTTTAGGTTGATTAATTTTCTTTATTAGATTACTAATGCGTTTTGGATAACATTACAAGCTACTGTAAATTAGAATGTACTATGCTTCTGTTATCAAACAAAATACTTTTGAAATAACAATTATTTCAAGTTTGAATTGTAAATGAATTAGTAATGACCTAACAAAACCAATTAATTAATCCAAAACTATTACAACAATTTCACAAGGGGGAAACATTTTTCATAAGCCCTTCATTTTTAAGACAATAAGAAGATATAACGTGATCATGATCCCTCGACAAAATTATGAGCAAATTAGTTCAAGGGAGGGGGTATTTTTCACAGTTCAATTAGTCCAATTACCTCATTACTGTGTGATAAAGACATCTATTATGGAAATATTAATGTAGCATATTTCAACTAAAACTTACAAGACATTTCAGTTATTTGAAAAAAAAAAATTGTCAATTAGGATATAGGAAAGTTAGTTAAATCTGCTTATATTGATCGCATGAAAATGTGGTAGTCCATGTATGTAAATTGCAATTTCTCAAAGGAAAAAAAAAATGGTTAAACTGAAATTACTGGTGTCAATAAAATTAAAGAACTTTAAAGACACAGGAAAAATATAGAAGTACGAAGTACTGAAACTAAGCCGAGAGCGTATATTCAAAAGAATTGTTTTTTAATCAAATTGAAGTAATTTCTGTACAAAAGTTTTTGTTTCCTAAATTTGCATACATACGTATTTATGTAGTTTTACATTACTTACATTAATTCATGTAATAACTCCTTTATTTTTGTAACAGTAAAAAATCCTCTCCATTGCAAGAATTTAACTTGCCCTAATTTCTCATTAGGCTCTAGGGTTACATAACTTGTATGATAATTTTCTGACTGATTTGTCCCCAAATCACCATCAAGAGATATCATTCCTAACCATTCAGTAAACTCAACCATATCTTCTTCATCATTTCTAGTAAAAGGTGCTTTTGGAACACTTACAGAATATATTGTATTTGAAGTAAAACTTGGAAAACTAATATTGACTTTATAACCTATATCTGAAAAATATTTGGCCACAGAAGAAGGACAAATATCTTGTATACTAGGTTCCCATAAAATGATAACTGTGAATTTACCCAGTGTGTGCAAACGTGATTTTATTTTCTCATACTTGGGTTTCCCTGGTTCCAAAAAATCTTCTTTTAAATTAATCTTAATAACTAAAATATTGGCAAACAAGTTAGAAAAACACTTTTTATTATACAATCACATCAACAACACTTACCCACTTATTATCCATTTGAAATTAAAAAAAAAATTTAAAACAGGCATTAGCATAAACTTATCTAGAAACATAAGTTATAATAACAATTATTATGTTGTTATGTGATTGTAACTTAAAAATAAAATAAAGAAAATATATTTATATCAATATACATGTATATATTTAAATATTAAATTTGACAATAAACCAGACAATGTGTAACACAAGTATTATAAATGTTGCAAAATATTTAACCAAATTAAATGTTTCATTACAACAAATTAATAAATAGGTGGCTAACACTTTGAAGCAATATATAAGTTCAGTACAGCAATAATTGCAAGATAAATTTTTCATGTAGTACATTGAAGAGGATATATGCAATTGCTTCCTCCATTTAAATTAATAAAAACTTCAGACAATACCCTCATAAATAAACACACTATGTAGAAAATGATAAAGTAGGTCGTATATCCAAATCAAAATTACTAGAATAAATATATTCTTTAAAACCTTTTAGTTCTTCCATCATTATTCCTTGCCAACTTTCTAATTCTGAAAGAACTTTTAAATTTGTACAACTAGCTAGTAGCAGTTCCACAGTTCTCATATTCATATCGCTACTATATAGTACCCTAAATTCTTCAAGTTGTTTCATAGGGTTTACATTTAATACATTTACCATAGTTGAATGAGTGATCCCAGTGGATGATCCTAAATGTATGTAGCGAATATTTAAAGCATGCATTAAAATAAATTCTAAATGACTTATAGCACTATCTACAACCCAAAATATTCTTTCCAAGTTTAGAAAAGGTTGTAATTTATATCTTTGTGGTGGAATTGAGGAGTTATTCATAAAATCACAGTTGTAAAAAACTAAACTTTTCAGCTTTGGGCAAAATTGACTTATATCTACTAAAACTTTAAAATCCATTTCCTCTACGTGTTCTAAATGCAAACTAGTGATATTATATCCTCTGACCTCTAAAAGTTGCTTTAAATAATCCCCATAAAATGCACACGACAACAATTTTAACTCCCTTAAATTATCCAGTGAAATTAATACAGTTAAATCTGATATTTGTTCTTCATGAAATAAACTGATATATTCAACTTTAGGAAACATATCAACAAATAATCTCAAATTCTCAGTAGATAAATCACGAGTTTGTACTTTTCTGAGACCAAATGGGCCACGATTCTGGTGATGCTGATATAGATATTTTATAACACCTCCAAATTCATCACATCGACCGGTATCTTGTAATTTAGGTAAGCCTATAATCAGTTGTGCAAGGCCTTCGATACTAACAGATGTTCTGTGTAACTGAAGTTCTTTCAAATTTTTACATTTTAGTAAAAATGGTATACTGCGATCCGTAACTGATCTAGAAGAAGTCAGATCTAAGCATTGAATATTAGGACAGTTTTCTCCCACTGTCTGGACTATTATATCAGTGCTATCAAAACACAAGCACAAAGATTTTAAATATTTCATTGTAGATATTCCCTCTAACAAACTTTTATCATATTCACTAGTTCTCCAACCACCAGAACAAGATCCCAAGTTCAAATTCTCCAGGCCAGTCATATTATGTAACTTTTTATAAAGAACATATCTCATAATTTTTGGCCATTCTGAAAAATCTATCTGTTTTAAATGAGAATTGAGCACTACTTCAGTCAAACTAACTACTACATTCATTTCCGTTAAAAATGCAGACATTGAAGTATGTGGGTAATATGTCTTTTTTGTTTTCTCTATTAAAGTTTTAACAGACTTCAATACTTCCACAGCCATTGTATCATATAGATAATAAGGAACATGTGAAACCAGTAACTTATTTAACCAATCAAGACTTTGCTGTAGGCTAGTAATTATTTTTTGAGGCTCATGATACACTTGTATTTTGGTTATAATAAAGGGTGCCATGTATACTACTAGTGACCCAATGCTTTTAAGGGATAGTTTCTGTAGAGATGGTACATCTCGATGTTTAGGCATTTTCTGAAAAAATTGATGGTGTTAATAGTGCTCAAACACCACCATTACTTCTGATTTGGAAATACGACTAGATAATAAATATATATTACATAATAATATTTTGTATGCAGAATTGTTTTTTTGAAATATTTATAACAGTTTATATAGAACTTGCAAACTTTGAAATTACAGTATCTCCTTTATTTGAATTCCAAAAATTATATTTATACAGGATGTCAATCCTAGAATGATTGGGACAGAACAACTGTGAATTTGGAAAATTACATTAGTAACAAAATAATATTTTTGCTATGTATGTAGAAAACATTCTCAGGTAGAAATAAGCAAAAAAATAAATATTTTAAATTCCATTTTCAAGAACATTTAAATTTTTTTCACAAAATTTGATATACTTAGTTCTTACAAAACTATATAGTAAAATCTCATTAATCCGGCACCATTAAAATCTTAAGAGTGCGGGAGTACTGGAAAATTCGAATTAATGAAATATGTATAATGTAAACAATATTAAATTAAAAAAACGTTACTTTTAATTGTTTATTAACAAAGAGTTTGGTACATAGATACATACATATTACATTTGTGTGTGCATATATATGTATATTGTAATGTTTTTATGTTTTTGTAAAATAATCTTCATTACGCCGGATTACTGGACGTACCGGTGTAATGAAGTGCTGGATTATAGAGATTTTGCTGTACTTGTAATTCTACATTTCTATTACCAGCACCTTTCGTAATTTATGTAATTTCTACACCTAGGATTTTTTTTAAGTACCTACATGACATTTTGTAAAAACAATATATTCACATATGCACAACAAATCACATAACTATCTTTCCCCCTTTTGACAATTATCATTTGAATGCAGTAATGTTGCTTTTAGCTTGAATACAATTTTTTCAATCATAGTAAATTTTTAATAATTTAAAACGTAACTTTTTTGTAGCGCATACAGAAATAAAAAAATATATTGAATCTCCAGTTGGAAATGCTATTTTTTCTGTTCATATCCAGGTGATAGAAAACAAAATATGTTTAATTTGGAGATACAGACTCTTGAAATTAAGAAAAAATATCACATTTATTTATACATTTTTCATATTTATATTTTAAAATGTTTGATGTATATTGATGAAACAGTGTAATAACATAATTAATTATTAATAAAAATTTACTGCATTGATCCAAAAACCTGGCAACCAATGGTGAACATGTTGGGATCACCAACAACCGCAGAATTTCGACATAACTGAATATTTTGTAAATTGGATAAATGTCTTTAAAAAGGTAATAGTCCAGCAGCCCACGGACAAAGAAAAAAATGATTACCAGCAAGCTATAACTTTGCATGCAGCTTAAGTTTAACGAGTCTCCCAAGAACTAATTACGAGGAAAATTCAACAGTGGTAAGTTTTCCCGTGACTTTAAGGAAAACATGTCAATCTGGCATAAACATGGAATGTTATGACCAGATTTATTTAAAAAATAAAAAATATTGTTGCAAATACAATAATTTTAAAAAGAACTATTATAAACGAGTGACCTGAGTAATTATTATACAGTAATCCTAAAAATTTTGTAACTTCTTTTAAAAATTAAGTAATTTTCATACACACTGTTTATTATACAGGGTGTTTTAGAAAACATGGGCCAACGTTTGGGGGCAGATTCCTAACCTAAAAACAAGATTATTTTTTCGTATCAACATGGGTCCTATTTCGCTTCGTTCCGTAGCTACAGGGTGTCAAAGTTTAAAAATAAAATTAGTTTTTTTCAAAGATCTAGATTTCCACTTGACGGAATTAATTGAAATTTGGACAACTAACTATTTACAACTGAATACAATTCCTAGGTATTATTATGTTGAAAATGAATTACAGGACCAGAGTTACTTGAAAGCCCTTGGGTTTAATCAGAGAAAAAATTGGTTATTCGTTAAGATTTATAATTTATAATTACATGGGTTTAAATTCTAGCTCAATTTTGATAAAAAATTGACTTACTATTTTTTCGTTTTCCGTCGAGTTTTCAGTATTTTAAATGTAATATAAACAATTATTTATTTATCTAGAATTAATTATGAATTGTATACGTACTTACAATAAACAACTCGATAAACATAATATAATATTTTATAGGAAATATTGAGTGTCCCAAAATTTAAATTTCTGATCACATTTAAATTAGAATCTTGTAATTCATGTTCAACATAATACCTAGGAATGTGTATTCGGTTGTAAATAGTTAGTCATCTAAATTTCATTTGATTCCCTCAAGTGAAAATCTAGATTTTTGGAAAACATTCTATTTTAAAATTTCGACACCCTGTAGCTAAGGAGCAAAGCAAAATCAGACCCATGTTGATATGAAAAAGTAATCTTGGTTTTTTGAAACACCCCGTATAATGATAGAAAATTAGAGTGGCTACTTTAACAGTGTTCCCCCCTGTTCCAGGGGGTCTGGATCCCCCCGCTGCGGTTCGGAGCATTCAGGGCCATTCGAGGTCCGATGCAGCGTAACACTGCATCTATTAAGGTGGCCATATCCCTGACCGAGAAATAGTGAAATTTCTGGCGTTTTTAGGTACTGAAATCTTGATGTTCTGTTTATTCATTGTTACCATTTAAATTTACTCAAATAAAATAATAACTAAAAAAAAGCGTTTGTAAAACATGCGTTTGCTGTTATCCTGACCCCACATTAATTATTTTCACGTACTTATAAATAAAAGTAAACAATTTTATATGTAGGACTAAGCAAGTAAACGTTATAAGAATATTTACATGTAGTTATATATAAAAAAGTTAGTATTTTCGTAGATTTCAGTACCTAAAACCTTGACGGTTTGATCGTTCTTTGCACCTGTTTATTCGTTTTACTGGGGCGTCTTTGAAAATACTCAGATGGCATGACATAACATTCCTATTATTTGATAAGCTTTAGATTATTCAGTTATTAAATGTTTGAAATTATTTGTCTTTGCGGAAAACACTATATAAAGAATATGGCGCCCTTTTAGTGAGACAGTCGCGATCGTACAGTACATCAGTTAATTTATTTATTTTTTATTTATTTATCAGTACAATATCCAACGAGCGATAAAGCCCAGTTACAGGATAAGGAGAAGAAGCAAGAAGTCAGTCATCAAAATGATGTAAAACAAAAGAAACAACAAAGAAGAGTGTCAAAGATACATACATAAAAGTTAAAAAACATTAAAAAAGAAAAAATAACAGTCACTAATTAAAAACAGACAATAGACAAAACTAAAGTACAATAAAAGTCACAAAATAAAATCAGTTGCGTACATTATAAACCTGCTTAATACAACTGATGGTAGAACAGAATAAATCTAACCGTGATTCAACTTCTAGGTAGCTGGCACACATCTGATGAACAGGCGCTGCTTTGTACAAATTGTTCGACCTTTTTTTAATTCCAAAAGATGCCTATTTCTAGCATTCACTCGAGGAACATGAAAATCTACTAGCCTCAACAAGTTCTCACATTTTATTAAATTATTGAGCAATTTAAACAAAAATATAACAGAATACATTTTTCGGCGTTCTGCGAGACTGCACATGTTGAAGCGTTCGAAAAATGCCTCCTGCGGGAAGCCCCTCGGCGGGTAGTGACCATCAAGCGCGAACACCGCTAGTTTAAAAAATCGACGTTGAACTCTTTCTAAGCATGACACATGAATAGAATAAATAGGAGTCCAAACCAAAGACGCATACTCCAGTCTAGATCTGACCAGTGCACCGTATAGCAGTTTAAAAGTGTTAGGATTCCGAAAACCCGCCATATTCCGCACGACAAAACCCAGGTTCTTGTAGGCAGATTTAACTATAAAATCCATATGCTGCCTGAAAGAAAGCTTTGGATCGAAATAGACTCCTAGGTCTTTAATAACATTTGGCCGATCTAGGCTGGACCCGTGTAATCGGTAGTCATACGAAATTTGCCTCAACTGCCGACTGAAGGACATGACATTACATTTTGCCACATTAAAAGGTAATCTATTGTCAGCGCACCAGGAGTTTACCAAATCCAAATTTCTCTGCAGATTACGTGCATCACGTTCATTGGCTATGGGACAAAACATCTTCATATCATCCGCATATAATAGGAAACGCACATCCAGATCCAATGCTATATCATTGATAAAAATCGCAAACAACAAGGGCCCCAGGACAGAACCTTGTGGAACCCCTGAGGATTGAGCAAATTCCATTGACCTTTCTCCCATAATCTGGACAAACTGAGTTCTGTCAGATAAGAGGTCATGAGCTCCAACAATGAAGAACCCAACCCCGCGGAATCTAGTTTCGACAATAATAAACCGTGGTCAAGACGGTCGAAAGCCTTCGAAAAATCCGTGTATAAGACGTCCACCTGACCTCCCCTATCAATCACCTCATGGATATACTGCGCCATGCACGCCAAATTGGTAACCGTGGAACGCCCTTCAACAAAACCATGCTGCTCCGGTAGGATAATATTTCTAAGGTGAAATGACAAAATATTATGTAGGGCTGTTTCAAAAATTTTACCGAAATTACATAGTATTGCGATTGGTCTATAATTCTTTATGTCATTCCTGTTATCTTTTTTATATATGGGACCGATTTTCGAAGTTTTCCAACGATCGGGAAATGTATGAGTGGACAGTATTCGGTTGAATATTATAAGAAGAGGCTTGGCAAACACAGTAGCACAATCTTTGATAAGAAAGGCAGGTATGAGATCGGGACCCATGGTCATTTTAGGTTTTAGTTTTTTTATGGAATTAAGTACATCGTTGTGTGAGAAAATTACATCAGAAAGAGCATTGGTATTAAAATTAAAATTGGTGCTGCTCAAAGGATCACTATTGTCACTGTTTACGAATGAGGAAGCAAAGTAGTCAGCAAAGGAATCGGCAATTTGTTTAGTATCATTTAACGACATGTTGTCGTATGTCATGATATTTGGGATGGTTACATTACCTTTCTTAGCGTTAACAAAAGTCCAAAATTTATTTGGACTGTGTTTTAATTGATGTTCAATATCAGCGATATATGTGTTGTAGGCCAGTTTACTTTTGTTTTTTACAGCTGATCGCAAACGTTGGAAATTTATATGATCCTCAGCATTTGAAGTGGAACGGTACTTCTTCCATGCCCTCGCTTTTTCATTAATGGCAACAATTAGGTCTCTGTTAAACCAGGGTGGGTAGGATCTTTTTGAAGGTATCTTTTTGGGAACATATTTCAGAAGAATGGAGTTTAAGGTTTCATAAAACTGAGAAACAAGATCGTTGACAGATGTGATTTTTTCCATGAAGGACCAGTCAGTCAAAGTAAGTTCGTGATACAAGGCAGGGAAGTTCGCTTTCCTAAAATTAATATTTGAACTTAGTTGTGTTCTTATTCTCTTAACATTATTGGGAACAAAGAAGTCTATTAGTAAAGCAGGATGATGAGGATCCTCCGGCAACAACACGTCAGAAGAGTGGAAAACGGAACATCTGACATTAGAGAGAACGAGGTCAAGAATCCTGTTATTGTGATTTAGAATATTGTTTTGATGGAAGTCATAAAAGTTTATAAATTTATTTAGTAAATGAAGTGGAGATTGTTCAGTAAGAGTGGTATTATTAATATAATTAGGCAAATTAAAGTCGCCCACCACAACAATATCGGAATCATATATCACGTACATAGATTCAAAAGCAAAAAATAGCTTTTCATAAGTATCCGTTGTTGTTTTAGGAGGTACGTAGATTACAAATATGTATAAATTGCGATTTTTCGCAATGTTAACTTTTATGAAAATAATATCAATAGAGAAGAGATCCTGAAATATTTCGTATCGCAGCTTATGATCAAATTTGCAAGCATTAAAATGCTTAGCAATAGCCAATAAAACACCCCCACCTCTACTAGAATTAGTATGAATAGAATCACGATCAGAACGAAAAACATCATAGTGATTTGTGTTAATTAATTCACTATTATGAAAATTATCGTTCAACCAAGTTTCTGCGAGAGCGATTATGTCGAATAGACACACGGAACAACCCATCAGTAATTCAATTGTTTTAGTCCGAACCCCGCGGACATTCTGATAATATAAATTGAAAGTCGGTAAATCAGTAGATAGGGCCTCGTTTTTACAAACACCAACGCCAGAAAAAGGTAATTGCTATTTATCCGATAAGATATTCTCTTTAAACCTTTTTAGTGCCGAGCTGTAAACATGGCAGGTTTTATCCCACACGGCATGGTCGGCGCGGACGGGGTCTCTATTGTTCTTGTTAAAATTAAGGCAATTGATGCAGGAATACGTAGTTGGTTTTGGACAATCCTCAAGTCTGTGATTTTTAGCGCATAATGGACATATGTCAACATCAGATGAACACCGCCTCGCCAAGTGATGATAACCACAGCACTTGTAACATCTACGCAAATCAATTGCATCAAAAACGCTGCAGTAATCATATCCAATAAATATTTTCGCACTGTCTATTAAGTTACGATACGTACCTACATCTGTTTGAATCACGGCATGATATACTCTATTATTTTTTTTTGATTGATTAACAGATATTACAGAAAAAATACTATCCTCATGAACAATATAATAATATATTCTGGTTCCTAATGTAATTGACAATAGTATCCTCATCCAGCTTCTCAGTCAGCCCAACAATTTTGACTCTAGGATTCAGTGCTGGGACCTCTTTAATTGTGTAATTGTCCCCTAATTTTTCACTAACCAGTTGCTTTAGTTTAACAAAATCTCCGGAACTTCGACAACCAACCATCAAACCACCATCTCGAACTCCTCTTACTTTCGTTAAGTCAGAGATGCTAGCCTCTCTAGTAATAAACGAGAGAATATAAATAGTGCGGGCTCTTCGATTAATTGTTAATTTTACAGTAAAATTATATTAAGAAGACGACTCTTAGGTTTTATCATTTAGTAAACTAAATAGGTAGGTCGTAGATGTACTTACACTAAAACTGAATTATACAAAAAATAATCAATATACTACACTGTCGGTGGACCGCCTAGCCGGGTGTCTTGGCCGGTGGATTTCGATCTGCCGAGGCAAGCATCACGGACGCAGGCTGGAATTTGGATGGGTGACCTAAGGCAGGCTCGGGGACGTGGCTGTGGCAGCATCACGGACTCAAGCTGGAATTTGGATGGGTGACCTAAGGCAGGCTCGGGGACGTGGCTGTGGCAGCCTACCAGAGACCTGGGTCGCCCAACATTTGCCGCATGCGTGTGGTACCCGATAAATGGTAATGAGAACAAAGTAAAGAAATCTCTGTAACTCAAGACCATGCTGTCATACATAAACTGTACGAGACTTTGCCACCAAGCCACCCGTGTAGTAAATAGGATGGTTTGAAGAAAGGTTCCCGAGTAATGAAGGAGGGTGTACAAGGGGCCTAATAAGGCCTAAGTGCTGCGGTGGAAAAACAATTCCACCACCCTCCGACATACATACATACACTAAGTGTTGTTTAGTGAATATTTTCCTATATTCAGTCACTTTTTTCGTAATAAAATCCTCGATTCTCAATTTTTTTTTTATCTTTACATAAATAAAACCTGCTATATCCTTTAGCATCCATACGGAATTCAAAAGTATTTTGTCGTAAAAAAAAAAATTTCAGACCCCACCCGGAGAAAAATCCTAAATACGCCATTCCTTTTATCATTTAATAAAACCTTCTATTTACAAATTGTAATCATTCTAGCCCAGCATAAACCGAGTTTTTGTAAATCTCTTATGTGCAAAAGAATTAAATTCGTCTCCAAATAGCTCCTATGTAAATATATTCTACATAGAAGAAATTTCAGCTTCACAACCTTTGTACTATTTCAACTTGATATATCTACATAGGAGATATCACATACGATCAACGATGTAGATGTTCTACAAAATCTTAAACGATCTAAAGACATTTTTACTATATTTCCAATTTCAAAGTATTTTTAAAATACATGAAGCTTCAATTGATAGTTTAAAGGATACATAAACATGACTGTTTTATTTATTTTATTTTTAGTTTTGTTTTAATTTTGGCTCTCTTTAAACATATTAAGTTACTTCAGGCTTCTTTCAAATTCACTGTTGTCATACCAAACATCTTATTTACATATTCTTTTATTCTAAACATATGTAGTCGGTAAACCCTGTTGGCAACAGGGTTATAAAAACTTCAACCTATTTTCAAATACTAACCAATTATGGGTAAATGCGATATATTTTTTAAATATAACCATTCTATACTTTGAAAATTAATGTGTTTAGAACACAAGTTCATAGAAACTTTTTTCTAAAAATGTTCTAATGAATTATTGAAACAGACTTAAAAGGACCACCTTGTATAAATATAAAGTATTAATTCATATTCTTTATTCGAGGATCTTGGCCTCTGTGATCCTACAAATCTTGATTAAACTAATGAATTGAGACAAATATTAGGCTACAATATGCCATGAAATTAAAACCGCACGGTTAAATTTCTTTCAAAAGACAACAAAACAATTATTTATTTCTTACATCAACATATCAAATAGAACACAAAATTTTTAAGGTGGTTTTTATATTTGTACTTCTTAATTTCTGTTATAAATATTTCAAAATATGTATTTTTTTAGAAATTGATTCTACTTACTATATCTATATTTATTTTTTCCTGTAAAATGTGATTTTTTCCCGTCAAGTCCCAAATTTTGAAATGTTTCTTTGTCTACACTTAAAATTAGTTGACCATCAGGGGTAATACCAATGCAGTTGTCGCAATCAATTCTGGTATTGCTACTTAAAAGTGTTAGTTTTCCTATAAAATTTATAGATAAAAACTAATTAAGTAATGTAATTTTTAATACATACCACTTTTTATGAAAAATTTCAGAAAATTTCTATTTAACAAATCACTGGGATTCAAGTCACAAATCTTGTAATATTCACAGTCAAGAATAAGTTTCTCAGTTAAACTCTCAGGAAACTTTAATGAATCCGGCAAAGTGACAGACACCTACAATTTAATTGTAAAGTATACAAATTAAAGTAAATGTCAATTTTAATAATTTACCAAATGGTTATAGTAAAATGTATTTATACTTGTTTCTGCCTCAAGATTTTGCCCCCCATATATTTTTTTAAATTTAAATGTAGAGTTTGGTGCTTCGAAGTTCCAAACTTCTGGGCACAGCATTCTATAAGCTTTCTACATAAAATTAAATATGTAAACGTGCCAATCACTTATAAATTCACTATTATCATTATCTGAAAAAGCTAAAAGCTACAACGCCATAGGCCAGGGCAGTGTTGCCAGATTGATAAAAACAAATGAAAATTATCGGATACAAAACGAAAAATTTCGTATAAGTTATCGTATTTTAATAATTTGTTTAGTACTTTAGTACTTACTGAAGACTAGAATAAATAAAATGATAATATAAATGGTAAATAGCATCTAAAAATGTCTAACGGCTTTTACAAAAATAGTTTTTTAAACCTTGATTGAGTACAATTGGATGTTGACGATCACGTGATTACAACAGAAACAGATTCGCTACCATAGATTTTCACTACCGTGCGAGTATGAAGATCCTGGCTAAAAGCAGTAGGCATAGATTGGTTGCCTACATAGAAAATAAAGTACTAACCAGGGAGACTAGATAAGGAGCACGAACTCATACGGGAAAATTGACAAAATTTGTACAAGAAATGGCAGAAGTTGGGGTGGCGCTAGTGTTCCATATGTCCCAAATGAATATAGCTTAATAAATACGAGTGAAGTAAGCAAATAACCAATTTTATTTTATATTGAGTTTAATCCGCGATAATTTTTAAGATGCAAGCGCACCAAGCGGCGAAAGCAGTAAGCTCCGAGACAAGGTAATTTTGACATTGCCGTTCGTGTTTACACATTCATTTGAACATTTGAACAACATTTGTTTTATTTGTAATTTTGTTATCAAACTGCGGTTATTTGACTTTTGTGTTATTTTATAGGTTTCAAATATTTCATAAATAAATTTTAAGGCAAGTATATTTATGTCTACTTTATTTGTCTCTAGCATTACAATTTAATGTACATTTTATTAGGTTATAACTATGAACTTATTCGTTGTGGAATCCATTTCCTATTTACATACTGCCATTATTCCATGGCTAGAAATTGGCCTCGCCATTATTCTATGGCTAGAAATTGGCCTCAATGATTTGGGATCGAGGGGGATTATCCCTCTTTATCCTGCCTCATCTCGTGTAGGCCTGGACAGCCTTCGTAGGTGGGCCCCATCCGTCGTCTACCCCGACCGCAAATGCGGCCGGTGTAGGCGCTTTGTGGGACCTCCTTTTGTCCTGGCTGGGCCCCGCCGGCTAGGGCCCTTTCTTCTGGCGCTCTTCTTGCTTCGCCGGCTCGTCTGTGTAAACCCCGGGGGTAGTGTCATGTTTATGTGTGGTATGGTTGGGTAGGGTAGTGCGGCTATGCAGCCTGGGATGCGCTTTGCTAAGGTGGCCCTTAGGCTAGCGCGGGCGGGGAGGGTTAAGGAGGGTATGGGGGGTGTGGGTGTGTGTGTGTGTGTGTGTGTGTCGTTGTCTTCGTTTCTTGATCCTGGCTGTCTCTGAAACAGAAAAGGTTAGCGGGCAGGGGGGGGGTCATTGGGGTGGTCACCCAGGGTCAAAAAGTTGGTGTCTAGGTCTTTTGTGTTTGTCGGTCACGTCGGGTACGTAGTCAACGGCTTGCCTGAGGAGGGGATTGTCATGTCTAGCGGCTACGTCAAATCGTTTCTCCGCGTTTTGTCTTATTGTCTGTGTAGCGTTTGTGTATTGTAAGTCTCGTAATATGTCAGTGTTTCTTACGTACCAGGGCGCGTCGGTGGCCGTGCGGAGGGCTATGTTTTCCACAGCCTGTAATGACTTTAAGTGGCTTTTTGCCGCGTGACCCCACGCCGTGGAGGCGTAGGTTAGCTGCGGTTGAAGTACCACCTTGATAAGCGTTCGCTTATTCTTTCAGTTCCTAGCGGGCAGCCGACCAGAGCACACGTGTTTTGTGAAAGTGTAGTGCAAGGAGCAAATTCTACCTGCCTTTATTAAGGCTACCTGGAAAGAATCCCTTTCTTTCCTTTTAATCACCGACCTAATCCCCGGCTTAAGCATAGAGGCCGTCGGCATCTTTGTCACAGGTACCTGTCCCGGGGTTATGCCCAGGTAAGTTTTTACTTATTTATCAGTTATTAGCACTACTTTAGAATACATTTCTTTAAAATTGCGACCCCCGACAACCAATATACCAGACAGACAAATAACCCAAAATACACGTACGCCCCCGTAAGGGGGCATCCCCACACGACTAACACGTACACACCCTCACACACACGTANGGTGGAAAGGGAATCTTGGATTTGGATGCGGAATTTTCGGTGGTGTAGGTAGGATTTTATGAGTTTGGTAAAGGATATGGGATATTGGTTGGTGAGCATTTTCATCAGTAGGCCTTCATGCCAAACCATATCGAAGGCCTTTGCGACGTCCAGGAAGACAGCACCAGTGTACTGTAACTGTCCCCTGTTGAAGGCCGCCGTGATGTGCTCGGTAAGGTGAAGGATTTGGAGTTCAGTGGAGTGATTGGGTCGGAAGGCGAACTATTACAAACTGATTCTGAAAAAAAAAAAAAACAAAAATAGGATTTAAATTATTAGAAGTGGTTATGACAAAAACCGAAATGGCATTTATAAAGTGTGTATGAACATGAGCAGATTATTTTAGAACTCAAAGTGCGAATCAGAACAAAACAGGTTCCACCCGTGTAGAAAGTGTGTATGGCTAGTACTCTCTGGTTGAACTTAAAATGATTAAAATAAGAAAATTGAAAGCTTGGATCAGATGGATCATATACAAGATAAGCGAAAGATTAATTACAAATATTATTCGTGAAATTATCTACAGAAAATATGACGTGACAGTTGCGGGTTAATTTTTATTGAAGACTGAAATTCTGAAAATATTCAATATATCCAAAAATAAAATTTTTAAAACAATATTTGAAGTTAAAAATGGATTTGTACTATCAATTTTTGATTTTATGTGCATTAATATCAGCTACATATACTTTACCGGATGAAGGAAAATGGGATTATAATCTTACTGCGGTAATAAAATAATTCAGATAAAAAAAAATGTAAAAAATGTTTGTTTTAGGGCTACATAAACATATATTTATCAAAAAGCTTGTACAAGGGTGCCCAAGTTTTTATAAGAAGTAAGTTTATACATTTTTTATGACAAAAGTTTATAAATAGCTACTATATACTGCTTCAAAAACAGAAAAACATTTCCAATACAATTATGCTATGTGTTTGACACTTTTTTTTTAGTAAACTGTGATTCAAAAGTTCCAAACTCGCAAGTTCGTATCGACTTGGCAATTTTGCAGTCAAATTGTTGGGATATCACAGACGCTATACAGGATATAAAGGAGGTATGTATAAAATATGCAAAATGTATGATTGTATGAAACATGTCTCTAACTTGATGTCAGGTTGCCTCAATAATTTATAAACGGCAGTCAATATTTCCAAAACTCAATTGTTTGTGTTGGTGATTTTTATGAGTTTAATATTTATTTGCTTGTTTGAAGTGTTTTTAAAAAGTAGTAAATTTTAATTTAAACTAAATTTTCCATAAAATTATTATGAGTTAAATTAGTATAATTTTAATATAAATAATTTCTAATAAAAAAAAAATGTTTTTTCTCAAAATCAGACAATTCTCTAAACATATAATAAATATATGTGCATCTGTTAAACCCAAAAAAGTTGGAAGGGAATTATTATTTTAAAACAGACTAACAACATCACAACTGTACTGTTCAACAACAAAATAGTATATTTGGTTGAGACGTGTGGGAAATAGGCAGGATGCACAGTAGCATATGTTTTATCTGTCTTCTTACATGTGTGGTTAAACCCAAGTGAAAAGATCATTGAAGTATTCAAAATAATTAGCACATAAATCTAATAATGCATTTCTTAAAATTACAACTTTTATAAGTACTCAACACAGAAAAGTCCGTTGCACTAAAATGAATTGGTAAGTTTTCTAAATTTATAACATAGTATTTTTCGTAGGAGATATCCTCACCAAACTTGGTCAAAAATTCCTCCAAAGTATACCTTGATACAAGAATATATAACTGCAATGACCACTTCTTCTTCAAGGAAGCGGAACTGGGTCAGAAAAAGAATTTACACAACACAGCCCAACCAGTGCACATTATAGACCATGATGGAGTATACGTTTTAGCTCTAAAAGTTAATACGAATACCTCTGAATACAGTATCGGTGTTCATATCGAGATGAAAAATGACTATGGGTATTTGTCTGCAGTTGATTGGCCTTTATTACCGTTCTATGGGTTTATGTGTATATACTACGTCATATTGGGGTTGATATGGTTAATTCTCTCGTTTCTTCAGTGGAGAGATTTGTTGAGAGTGCAGTTCTGGATAGGAGGAGTGATTTTGTTGGGTATGCTCGAGAAAGCTACTTTCTATGCCGAATATCAGAGCATCAACAACACAGGTACTCGAGTACAAGGAGCTATGCTTTTTGCTGAATGGGTATCCTGCGCTAAAAGAACCCTCGCTCGTATGCTTGTTGTAATAGTGAGTTTAGGATTTGGAATAGTAAAACCAAGACTTGGAGCTACTTTGCATAGAGTAGTAGGTGTAGGGTTATTGTACTTTTTCCTAGCCGCATCCGAGGGTTATCTAAGAATAACTAAAGCTAAAAATGATCCTAGCAAAGACTTACTTGTAGCGTCTGTACCTTTAGCAGTTCTGGATTCTGCTATTTGTTGGTGGATTTTCTCTGCATTAGTCAATACAACAAGGACTCTACGACTGAGACGTAACGAAACTAAATTAAACTTGTACCGGCATTTTACAAACACATTAATATTTTCGGTAGTAGCGTCAGTATTTTTTATGTTGTACTGCATCAAGGTACATCACTTTGTGAGCTGTTTAACTGTTTGGAAAGATATCTGGCTGGAAGAAGCGTACTGGCACATACTTTTTTCGTGTTTGTTGCTGGTTATTATGATTTTATGGAGACCCACTAATAATAACCAAAGGTATGCATTTGTCCCGCTTTTGGACACGGGAGACGATGCCGATGAGGAAGAACAATTGGTAAACGACGCCTATGGTGTAAAAGTTAGAGTGCATCATCCAAAACAATCTGCCTCTCCAAGAACGTCTGTGGACGATGACCTTAAATGGTTGGAGGACAATGTGAAGAGCGATCCTGCACTCCCTATTTTAGATTCCGATGAAGAATTAGTTAGTACTCGTTTTGAAGTATCTAAAATGCAGTAAAGGTTCCGTGTATAATTTATAGCCATATTTTATAAACAGCTTTACGTGTTTAAGTTGTCATTGGAATATTTATTTTATTAGAAATCGTTCTTGTTATTTTTCTTATGAATTTATAAAAAACTAATGTTTAATGTAGGTCTGTGAATTTTTTTGTGTTACTTCTTGAAATATTGTATATACACTGTTAATTAGTTAGATTTCTTATTTTTTCATAAAATTTTTTGAGATTGCAACAAAGTTCAAGTTTGATAATAACAGTGCAACATATGTATAAAATGTCCTGTACACGGTATCTATTTCATGATAGTAGTTAGATCAACACTAAAAATAATACAAAAACTAACATTTATAAACAAAAAAAATACCCATTACATTCAGTCGTTCATAGATGTATTTGCTTCAACAAATTAATGTTAAAATTAAATTAAACCGACAATTATTATTGATTTCAAAATGTAATGCTTCGAGTGATGTTGTCGAGTGGATGTACAAAGTTAACACTAAAAGTCATTGTTTGTGATAAAGGTGGTCATTTCAATAGAACAGTTAACAATCAATTCGTTATCTGAAATTTGATGTCTTCCGTTGAAAAGAAATTCTTATGTATGGAAAGTATTTAATTTGATAGTACACAAACTTAAATAATATGTGCACTGTTATTACAATCAGAAGTCTCGCTTAACAGTATTAAATAAATTGTACTTGCAGTTCTCACAAAAATTATTTATCGTATCATAAATCCATTATTATTCAACTATTCGTTGTACTTTTGTATTCATAAAATGAAAACATTTTTAGTACTTAGGGTATTTAATCTTAAATATAGAACTTGTATATACCTTACCTATTTTAATTTGTGATAATGTTTATTTCTTTAAAAAGAAATTGTGTTGTTTTATAGGATTTAAATAAATAATATTTAATTTGTCAGTGATTGCTTTTTTGCTGCAAAAAGTTAACGTGTTTGAAGTGAGAACAATACAATACAAGGTGTTCCAGTTTGGGCGAATTGAACTTTGATTATAAGAATATAAAAATATTTCTTAAACCACAGCCCTATTTTCTACAGTTTTCTATGTATGTGGTTAGTTTTGTACGTGGCCAACTACACAATTTGATGTTGCTCTAGTGGTCTGGTCTTTAATGAAACAGAGATGAAGAAGTGACTCTTTTTTACCACAACTTTACACCCTTTGTTAAAAGTTTTAAGTTAATTTTTTTGGATTAGTTTAACTGGTAAGCACTATAATTTTCAGAAAATCTGTTTTTTTTTATGGATTTAAAATATGCTTTAAACCCTCTAGAATAAGAGAAAGAAAGATTTAGGTTTGTACAAACATTTTTTTTTAATTCCAAGCTCTCCCAAGCATGTCGGATTGCTCCGAAACGACTACCTGGAGCACAGACACCTGCTGGAAGAGATGACTTACTTTTTGATTTCTAACATCTCTAATACCACTAATAGATGTTGTTAGGAGTTTGTGTTCTAGGCATTTTCAAACTAATATACCAATACAGGGTGTTTGGAAATGTTGGTGCAAAATTTAAGGGGGTGAAAGTAGGGCCAAAAATAGTAAAAAAAGTTTCTATAAACGTTGGTCCTCCGGAGCACCGTTACTGAGACATGGCCCTCCAAAGGGGTCTTATCATTTGGATATTTTTTAAAATAACTTTCTGATTAAGATAACGGAATTAAAATTGTAGGTAATAATACTATAAGGGTCTTAACTACCATAAGTTTCATGAAAATCGGTTATAAATAAGAATAGTTTTGTAACTGCTCCTAACAGAAATTTTTCGAATTTTTTTTTATTAAGCAAATAATATTTTTTAATAAATTAGACTTTTTTGAAGAAAACGTCTACTTTTTTCGAATTCTACGTAGTTTAGTCAGAAATAATTATTTTTTTAAATAATGTATGGCTCAGAACAGTAACTTTTTTTTAACATTTTGACATAGTAGGCAGTCATGGTGACAGTTTCGTTGTAATGATACTAATGATTGCCACATTCACGTGCTATCGTTTAAATTCTTACGTTTCTTTATCTTCTTAGTTGTGATCTTTGTGCTTGACTTGAACCATGAACCATCATAAACAGACGCTCTTCTTACACTCGCAGTAAGATTACGTTCAAAAAATCTTAAAATTACTTTGTCTAAATCATATCTACGCCTCCTTGGGCCACATTCACGATATCTTGGAGTTAGGGCTCCTGATTCCATAGCTCGCATGAATTTTCTGAAACAATCTTGCAGAGGGTTGCCTTCTATCAGGAAAACGTTGCAGATGCTCTCTTTGAGCCGCCAGACTATTTCCATTACAGAAACCATAAATAAAATGCATATCGGCATATTCACGGTTAGTAAAAGCATAAGAAGAAAATAAAGAAACATAAGAATTTAAATCATAGCATGCAAAAGTGACAATCATTAGCATCATTACAATGAAACTGTCACTATGAAAGATGTCTAATATGTAAAAATGTTTTAAAAAATGTTACTGTTCTGAGCCATATATTATTTAAAAAATAATTATTTCTGACTAAACTACGCAGAATTCGAAAGTAGATTGTTTTTTTTTTCTTGAGTCTATTCTTTTTCTTTTAATATTGATGTCGTGGTCTTCGTATGGGGTGGGCATCCGATCTGGATTTTTACTTTTACTGGAAATGTCGTTTTTGTTTTCGAGATTTAGATTTAGTGTGTTTGTTTTGCTTTTGTTATTATAGTAATACCTTTTCGTTCTTTTTGGTTGTTTAGCTTTTAGTTCTATTCTAATGTTTACTTGTTTTTGGTTTCCTGCTCCTTTGTGCTTTTGGTATTTTGGTGTTCGGTGTATTATTTTTTTTTATATTATGTGTGTATTGTATACAAATATGTTTTTTATTTATACAGTAATTGTATTAATTCCAACTAAAATTTGTTACATTTAATTTTGGTGCATTTTCCTCTTTAGAAGTCGTTCTCATACTTGTTGTAGAGACGTCTCGTCATCAAATTCTTCATCGTCGGAATTTTGGGAACTATTTATTACTGGCAAAGAAACAAAAATATTTATATTCTGGAGGAATGACTCCATCTTTGCCATGGCACATAGACAATAAATTGTTATACTTTAATTTATTTATGGAAAGTTTTTCAGAATACAGCGATGTTGTAAAATTGTCCGGGTTTTAGGACACTTACGATACACCAAAAACAACACAAACATTCACAAGTTTAACCAAATTTAAGGTTATGTGAAATTTACCAAATCAGGTGAGGGCGTATAAGCCAATACTGTCTAGCAAGCGTAAAAGAAATACAGAAGTATTAGGGCCGTATGAGCATACGCCTTTCTGATATTATAGTTTTACAAAATCGGTTCATATGCCTAAGTAAAATGCGTTAGAATAGAGTGTCTATGTTTATGAATATATACGCTCTTCTGATATATTAAGCGAATTGATTAAATGTGGTCATATGACCTAAAAACCCAAAACTGACTATAGTGGCTCTTATGCCCTTCTGAAATAAAAAAAATTTCAAAAATTTCTGTTAAGAGTAGTTACAAAACCATCCTTATTTATAACCGATTTTGATAAAACTTATGGCAGTTAAAGACCCTTATGGTATGATTATTACCTACAATTTTCATTCCATTATCTTAATCAGAAAGAAAGATATTTTAAAAAATATCCAAATGATAAGACCCCTTTGGAGGGCCATATCTCAGTAACGGTGCTCCGGAGGACCAATATTTATGGGGACTTTTTTTACTATTTTTGGTTCTACTTTCACCCCCTTAAACTTTGTACCAACTTTTCTAAACACCCTGTATCGTGTATATCAAGTATAAAGGCGTTTTTCTCGAAACAAGATTTTTTTTAAAAGGTATGCAGCATAACTCGAACAATTTTCACTCTATTCACACCATATTTTGACCATATCTTCAAAATAACATTTCAAAGTACATATAGGGTTTTTGATTTTAACATTATTGACAAATGATTGCCCCTTATTATGTCAAAAATTTAAATTTTTACTTCAAATGCTTGCCAATCATACAAATATTAATGTTTTCAATATACCTTGCATATTTCTCTAACCATCCTCGTGTAGATTAAGAGAAAATTTTTTGTTTTTTTCCATATGCAAATTTGCATCAGTTATAAGCCGAGCACCTGCTTTGTGAGAATGGCTATTTATGAAATAAATATATTTTTTTGAACACTTTAAGAAAGGGTTAATAAAATCCTTGAATATAATTTCCTTAATTTTTCAAAAAAAAAACCGCAATTAAAACGATTTATTTTAAAACTTTACAGTGGTGTTACCATTTAATACCTTTGAAATAGAGTAAGAGAAATCTAAGAGCTAATAGTAATAAAAATAGGTTTTAAAGAAATTTTTATATCACTGGCACATTTGTACTTTAAGCCCTATTTTTAAATAAATAATACTTGGAAATCAGGTTACACCACTTTTATAGTAATGAAAAAAATAGACATTATATATGGGATGTTACTATATTTTAATAAAAATCAATAAAAGTCATCTGCATTGTTTACGATATTCCAAGAATCGTCTCCACTGCAGTGCTAGCTTCACATTTTATTACTTTAAATATAGTAACAAAAATTTTTCTTGCTATGATCTGTATTTTTTGCATTACTGTAAAAGTTGTGCAATCTGACTTCTGGTGCATTTTCAGTAAAACGGTTTGTGGGTACACATGTCTGCAAGTGACCCATTTTAAGTACTACGTTAATAGCGCCAGCCTGACGCCACCCGGACCAGTCCAACAGTTGCAAGAACAAAAAAACAGACACGGGATGCAACATGGTTCCCGGGTGGGTGTGTGGGTACATATGTCTGCAAGTGACCCATTTCCAAGTACAACGTCAATAGCGCCAGCCTAACGCCACCCGAACCGGTTCAACAGTTGCAAGGACAAAAAAACAGACGCGGGATGCAACATGGTTCCTGGGTGGCTGTATGGGTACACATGTCTGCAAGTGACCCATTTTAAGAACTACATGAATAGTGCCAGCCTGACGCCACCCAGACCGGTCCAACAGTTGCAAGTACAAAAAAAACAGACGGGGACACAACATGGTTCCCGGAAGAGGACCACCGCAGTTTAGCGCCAAGGACTAGAACTTATACCTACGACCCATGATATAAATTTATAGTTATACCACGAGTTATACCATGCCTACGACCGACTCCGCATAGAGAACTCTCCAGCGAACGCTCGCTCCGACAACACGTCAAAATCAACCCTCAGGTCTATTACATAGACTTCACGAGAATTTTTTAATAAAAAATATTCAGGAAAACTAGAATTAGAACATAAATTATAATTGTTCGAGTACATAAAAATTGAGGCAAAGAAAGACCATTTCTTCATATCTACGTACATATAACTAAGTTATCTAAAATGTCATCCAAATTTATGCAGTTTTATCCAAGATACCTCAAACCAGATTCACTATCATGATATAATACTAAAGGCTACTAAATGTTTTCTGCAAATTCTGGTAAAGTACACCATTTTTGATATAAGATAAAGATATTTTTTGAATAATAATTCAAGAAATCATATTATCGATGAACAAAATCTTCCTTAATTGTTTTTTGCAACTTGAACAAACTGTAAGTTTTCATTAATTTTGAACACCCTATCCCGAGAATGAAGCGTGTTTGTACACATATTTTTATGAACTTTATTGATCTGTATAGTAGAATCTAAAGTTTGGTTAAGCATTTGAGTTACAGCCAGTAATAGGTATTTCATTATGGGTTGGAAAACATTAATTAAAAGCAATGTACATTACTGATTGTTTATTTATTGCTATTTATTTACAAAAAAATATCACAAATACATATCCATAAATTACATTTGAAACTTCATATGATTGTACAAATTATATAAGTATGTACCTACTACTTTTGTAGAACAGTAACTTTGGGGTTTGTTGTTTCAACAGTTAACCTGATTTAATATAATACAAGCTTTCAAAATTTTCATATAATATCCACACAAGAAATGTAATCGGAAGAAGAAAGTCTTAAGTAATTATATGGTTCTGTTTACAACATTTTAATTAATATATTCCTAAACATTT